TGGCTTGCCCAGTATCACACAGCCAGTAAATGTCAAAGGTGGGACTTGAACGCTAATGTTCTTGATTCTCAGGTTGACTCTGTCCACTACTCCACACTGCCTCTTTCTTGAGTCCTTTCTAAAAAGGAGACAGGATCTTAGAATCTTAAAAAATTGGAGAACAAACGCACTTATCAAGTAATACTGTATACAGAACTATATCAAGTACTATGGAAAAAAAATCAAAAGAAATGAAGATAATGTGGTTTCTGCCTTCAAGAAGTTTACAGTGTAATTGGGGAGAGAAGAGATATAGCCTAATAGTAAGCATAAGACCATTTCATGACATGCCCTATCTACCCCTACACTTCAATCCACACTAGACTGAAGGCTTTTCTGCCTTCTCGTCAGTCACCTTCCCAGCCTGGACAAATGTCCACCCTGGGCCACACTCTCTTGATTTGTGGCTTCCTAGCCCAAGCCATCATTTCTTTAAGTGCCTCAGACATGCTCATCTCACTCCCTCTGGACTCATTCTCTAGACTTCTCCATCTTATCACCAAGTGCCTTGCTTCCTCAGTAGTGCCCCCTTTCAGGCTTCCCATTATATATTGTCTTCTTCCACAAGAATGTAAACTCTTTGATGGTAAAGACTGTCTTATTTGCTTATCTTTGTATCCCAAGGGCTTAGCACAGTGCCTGGAACATATTGTTCAGTCATTCAGTTTTGTCCAATTCTTCATGATCCCTGGACCATAGCATGCCAATACTGTCCATGGGGTTTTCTTGGCAGAGATACTGGAGTGGTTTGCCATTTTCTTCTCCACCGGATTAAAGCCAGCAGAGATTAAGTGATTTGCCCAGGGTCACCCAGATAGTAAGTGCCTGAGGCAAAATTTGAACTCAGGTTTTCCTGACTCTAGAACCAGTTGCTCTATCCACTAGCCACCTAGGTGCCACCTGGCACATAGTAAGTGACTAATAAATGCTTAATTTTTTTATTTGACCTCCTGTAATAGAGTACTTTCTTAAATTTGATATAAGAAATATTGGTTATGGTGAATGCAGGCCTCTAGATTATTTCATTTTTTTTTTAATTACCTCCTAGCCCAAGGAGAGGCATTAAATCCTTGGGGCGTGAAAACAAGAGGCCAGTCTATCATTTATACTTTAGAGTTCAAGTCATGACTCTACCATTTTATTATTTGAGTGACTTTGGGCAAGTCATTTAATCTCTATGGACCTCAATTTCCTCATCTGTAGACTGAGAAGATTGGCCAAGATGGTATTTAGTATACTTTATAGCTTTAAATTGGTTATTCTATGAAACAAATGGGCAAAGAATCTAAGAAAATGGAAGGAGAATTTTGAGGATTTGAGAAATCAAAGAGTAGTCCCAGCTTCCTGAAAATGTTCTATTTCTTGATTCAAAGTAACTCAATTTCTTTCCCTTTTATTTTTGTTTCATTTACACTTTTGTTTGGGGGTAGTCTTGGTCCCTCTCTTCTCCCATAGATATCACTCACCTCAGGTAGCAGGCCTTTTCCTGTTGGCTTACAGGCATTAGCGGATGAAAGACAGAGGAAAACCAACTCCCATCCTTCAAAATTCATCTCTCTTAATCTCTCAAGCTTGATCTGGATTGGGAAATACTCATCAGAAAAGCTGATGTAATGTCGAACTATTCAAGCACAACAGCTTTTTCAATTATACTTATACCTGAAAAAGTCCTCCCAATTAATTAATGAAACCAAGGACACCTCTCTGGCTTGTAATGTCATTTCTGGAAGTACCAGCCTTCTGATGGTGGCTTGCCATGTACAGTATTATTCAAAAGGCAGGCAACATTGTAACTCATTTTTTAAACACGGCTCCTAGCCTTGTGCCATGGAGTCAAGAGTAAGAAATTTGAAGGTTTCTCAACATTAGGCTAACAGCATACAGTATTGCCTCCTTTTGTATGTAAAAGTTTGGTTGCTAAAAGGGAAAGAAAAAGAAATTCTGTGCAAAGAAAATTGAGGAACCATAAGAGCACTGCAGAAAATACCAAAAAACCTCTATTGTGTTGTTTCTATTCATGTTGGAATTTTAAAAACTACCTAATAGTACTGAGAAATAGAACATATAAAGGTTTTTTGAGTCCTTTGTGAGCCCTTGATGAAGCATGGTCCATGACACAAATATAACTTTGTCACTTCACACCCTGACAGAGTGCCAACATCTTTATTTTTAATCATATCTATCAAGGTTTATTATTCTCTCTGAAATAGGAGGTAAAAATCTCTGCTAGTCCCGGATTTCAGTCACAGATTGGTTTGTGACTGTGAAATAGGAGGCCAGGTGGCACAATGGAGAGAACACTGGCTCTGGAGTTCTAGGACCTAGATTCAAATCCTTCCTTTGTTAGCTTCTTCTTGTTGCTGTAGAGTCATTTCAGTTGTGTCTGATTCTCTGTGATTCCATTTGAGGTTCTCTTGATAGTAATAGTAATATTACCATAGTAATATTAAAACTTTGCCAATATATATCATTTACACTTTAGGCTTCAAATCACGACTCTACTTTGGGCAAGTCATTTAATCTCTATGGGCCTCAGTTTCCTCATCTGTAGACTAAGATTGGCCAAGATGGTATTACTATTGAATAGCAATCTTCTCTTTCTGGTATCTGGAAACTTTTTATTTTTAAATGAAGAACAAGATAAGAGAAATGCACACTCCAAATTATTGGCAGTGATGAATATGTATTGTGAAAAAGGTTGTGTAAAAAACTAGATAGGTCTCTCTGACAGAACAGCTATCCCGTAATACAGTAGAATATTCTCCAGAGTAATTGTGCTTGTACAATAAATGAATCTCTGTGGGAAAAGCATCTTTTGGGACTGCCCAAAGGAGGATTATGCATCTAATTAGGTGAAAAACATTTCACAATACTCCCATCCTCTTGATTACAGTAAATTTGGTCTATTGCATAAGGTCTATTGATGGTTTCTACTCTGATAATTAGCATTTATGCTTTCCATATTCCTCATGGTTTCTGGGATCTCTTTCATAAATCTTAGTGTCACACACTTCCACAGAAAGATAAAAGGGAATTTAAGTAGCAGCAATTTCTTCATTTTGTGTTACTTATACTGATTTGTACATAAACCTAGACACTACTTTGGCTCAGATCTGCCTATGATTATAGTGAGCATGTCAAGATACTTGGGAAGGAAGACTTATTTGCCTACACTCCTCCCACTAAGGCTAAAAGTTGGTTCTTACTCTAAGAAGAGCCTTGTTTAGATGTGAATTGCTCTGGATGACTTCTAAGCTGACCTGAAATTCTGGAATTCTCTGAAGGAACTTGGTTAGGTTAAATGTAGCTAAAAACCATTTAGCATCTGACACAAGCTAAATAACTAATCAACAAAAGTGTTTGACTAGCAGAATATCACAATATTTTCTTGGTTAGACTGATAATTAGTGGTGATCTCTAATGTGAGTTTGAAGTTTCCTGGTTTCTGGAATACATCAGTGTTTCCCAAGCCAGAACTTACCAGCAGAAGCCCACTTTGTCCAACTACCCTTTTTGGGATAATGATTAGTATCTAGAAATCATTTCTCAAGTTTTAAGCACATAAACAAGGAGAAGGAAGGAGGGGGAGAAAAACAGAAGGAAGAAAGAAGAGAGAGAGGGGAGAGAGAGAGAGAGAGAGAGAGAGAGAGAGAGAGAGAGAGAGAGAGAGAGAGAGAGAGAGAGAGAGAGAGAAACCTTGCTAATTTGCAAGGAACAGACGCTCTGTGGGAACATGATGTATCCAAGAAGAGTGTCGCAGATGAAATAAAGTGAGTGACATTAAAGTGAAAGAATGAAACCACATAGGGGGACCATTCTGTTCTGACTAACTTCAGAAGCTCCAGTCAAACCAACATTCCTGATGTTTGTGTATTTCCACTGAGAAAAAGAGAAATTAGCAAAATCAAACCAAAGTGTTTACTTTCTGATGACTCATTTTCTTTTCAGGCTTAAATAAAAGATCCAAGCACAAATGTTTGACCTCTAATACATCCAAATATGCCACTTTGCAATTCCAAATAGATGCTTGAATATGGTGACATCCCCCTCCCCATTACCCCAAGGGTAAAAAGTAGTAGTTAGTGCTTTAACACTCCACCTGTCAGATTAATGCCTAAGTAAACTTATACCTAAATAAACCATGTGGAGGCAGTGTAACATAATGGATGGAGAACTGCCATGGATCCAGGAAGACTGGGTTCAAGTCAGTGCTGTATTTATAGCTGGCTTCAGTCCTAAGATTTGAGTGTAAAATACCAGATTTAGTTTGATGCTTTTCTGATTTAAAAGTGGTCATATAGACTTCATGGGCATACATTATTAGAATGAGAATCCGCTTGCTAACTGAACAGGCCAAAGTTGGTTAAAAGTTAGAACCATGTGAGAAAGCCCCTGGCAGCTGCTCAAGGTTGAATGAAGGAAGGAGTGTACTCGAGGTCTATAACATTTCAGCAGGCAGAAGTGTCAGAGAAAGGGTATATACAAATATAAATCAGAAGGAATTATGATTGTATTGGTCTGAATGTAGGCAGCTCTCAAACTTTCATCCCCTTGGAAATCTAGCTAATAGAAAACTTCATTGCAGCCTATAATCAGTGCTATGTTCATGAATTTAAATTTGTATTTTTTCCTTCAAAGAGATGCGGTTTTTTGTTTGTTTTGTTTTTGTTTTTTGGCTAGGCAATGGGGTTAAGTGACTTGCCCAGGGTCACATAGCTAGTAAGTGTCAAGTGTCTGAGGCTGGATTTGAATTCAGGTCCTCCTGACTGCAGGGCCGGTGCTCTACCCATTGCACCACCTAGCTGCCCCAAGAGATGCAATTTTAAAGGTATAATTTATGTTTAAGAGGGGACCAATATAGACTACATACAATATGATCTTGGAAGAATTCTTTTCCTAGGTGGAGATCTAAATGACATAAAAACCTAGATGTATGAGTTTTCTTTTTTGTTTTTTTTCAGGCATAGGACAGCTGTTTATTTCCTCTACCACAAAAAGAAATGCTTAAAACACAAAGGATTTATAGAACATATTAACAGACACTTAAAACAAAAAACAATAATCCATCATCATAGTATTAAAGTCAAGGCACTTTGTGAGACTACAGAATGGAGATTTTCTTTTCTTTTCTGACTGGTGCTATCTGTACAACTGAGAAGTCCAGATCTCCTGGAAAGCCAGGGCACTTGAGACATTATTAATCCTCTGAGCATTACCCTGGTCATGTCTCCTGGCAGTGGAACATCTTCTCTGAGAAGCAGTGTTACTGCAGAAATCACCTCCGTGTGGGCAGCCATCGGTGACTCAGGAACTTCCAACTGCTGGAACTCACGAGATAGCCATCAAGTCGGGGATGACAATTCTCAGGGCTGTGGTTCAATGCCTCCCACTCAGGAATAGAAACCAAAGCAGAAGAGGAGGTGACAAACCATCACACTGTCATAAGATGACATTAAATAAACATAGAGAAGAGACTTGAAATCTGATCTCAGGCTCACTCAGGCAAAGCGTATGGTCTTGCTGTGGTGTGCTCATAGAGACCATGACTGTTGGAGGAGGGGAGGATTGAGAAAGTGAGATGATAAGTCAGTCAATTAATCAATCAATAGACCTTAATTAAGTACAGACTCTGTGGCCAGCACAGTTCTAGGTGTTGGAGCTACAAATAAAGAAAAAGAAATAATCTTTACTCGTAAAGACCTTACATGAGTGAGAGGGAGAACCATAGAGTTTTCTATAATTCTTTGTCATTGTTGTTGTTTTTGCTTTTTATAATTCTTATAATCTAATGAGGGGGGTAGCTTTTTTCATCTCAGTCACCAATTATCTTTGGCACAGCCCCAGCCCCAATTCATGGGGATCAATAAGGAATACATGAGTCATTCCAAAACATAAGTCCATTGCTGAGCCAGATCATGTGTCCATCTCTGTGGATGGCATCCATGATGCCACACTGAATGCCTCACTCTGTGGGAGCTACCCTAATCCACCAAATGGGGGGCGTGGAGTACTGATTTCCTTTGTTATACTCCCTCTGTACGTTTAAATATTTGTTCTTCCCAGCAAATCAAATGCATACTTGTTCATATCTCCAGTTCTTTGTAGTACTCGGGGCATTTGGAAAGGCTCAAGCATTATGCTTTTTAAAAATGCCTTATGCTCAAAAATGTCAACAGAGTCTACATGATATAGCTCATTTAAAAAATAAATTTTATTGATATCATTTTGGCATAGCCCAAGTTTCCCTCATATTCTCTCCACCTCTTGCACAGAAAGTCATCTCATATAACAAAGGATTTTTTATAAATAAAAAAGTAGAAAAAGAGGAAAAATTAGCCAAATTAATCAATACATTAAAAAAAACCTGACAGTGTATTAAATGTTTCACACCTGTAGATCTCTAACTCTGCAAAGTAATAGGAGGAGATGCTTATCATTGTTCTTTTATTTATAGACCTTTGTATTTATAGATCTCTCATCTCTTCATTTAAAAAGCCTATGTTTTGTTTGCTTCTCTCCTTTCTTACTGACAATAATCTAGTATAGGCCCTCATCACCTCATTCTTCTATTAAGGGCTAAGTGGGATAAGAATAATCCCTCTCAAGTGCTTAAGTTTAATCAATTAATCAATCAACCGTGCATTTGTTAAATATTAATTATATGCTAGTCACGCTAATTACTAGAGACACAAAAAAGTAAAAAACAAAAACAGGCCTTGACAATATGTATATAAATAGGCATGTACTATATATATGTGTGCACAAACATATACATACTTATATGTATATTTATGTGTGCTGTGTATGTGTGTACATATATACACAGATATATATGTGATTGTATATATTTATGTGTGTATGTATATGTATGTATGTGTGTGTGTGTGTGTGTGTGTGTGTGTGTGTGTGTGTGTGTGTGTATCCTAAAAGGAAGGTAATCTTAAAGGAGACGACTTCAGAAGCTTGGGGAAGTAGGAAAGTGCTTTATCATTTACAAAGCACTTTATGTATGTGATGTCATTTGACCCTGGCAATAGCACCTGAGGTAGGTAGTATAATTATTATTATCACAATAGCAAAGGCTCTAGATTCACCTCTTCCAGACCAAGGTCAGTTAGCTATATTGCTGGCCCACCCTCCCAGGGCTCAAGAGGTACCCCTCAGGGAAGGTCAAGTGGCTTTCTCCAATACTATTGGCTTGAGCCTCCATTCTATTGTTTTCCACCATTAGCCAAAAATAATCAGTACTCCAGTTCAAAATTAACCAGTTAATATCAACTAACTCACAAATGGATATTTACTTTGGAGATGTAGCAAAAACAAAAGTACAAATCTATTTCCCCAACACCTGGGGGAGTTGTACTACCTCAGTCAAAGGGGAGAGAGGGCTTAGGCTTAACATAATTTTTGTTTAACATCAGTCCCACCAAATTCACTTCCAAATGTGGCAGAGCTGACGAGTGGATCTCTCCCATTGTTGGACTGACGTGGGCAGGTCACTTAGGAATTTGCTCCTCACTCTCTGGCTTTCAGCAAATCCCAAAATGGACTCAAGCTCCTAGACTTCTGGTTGCTTGCTCACATGACCTAGAGACAGCTGGTGATGCAATGGATAGAGTTCTGAGCCTGGAATTAAGGAGAACTAAATGCAAATACAGCCTCAGACACTTGCTGGCTGTGTGACTGACTAAGCCTCTTGACCTCTGTGTGCTTCAGTTTCTTCAACTATAAAATGGGGATAATGATAACAACTGCCTTGAAGGGTTGTTGTGAGGATCCAATGAGACAATATTTGTGAAAAGGGCTCATCCCAGTTCCGGGCATAAAGTAGGTGGTTAATAAAAGCTTGCTCCCTGCTCCTACCTTCCTTTTCCAGCTGACTTGAAACTCCCAAGGTCATAGCTATCTCCAATCTTCCTTCACTCATAACAGGAAGGACAAATGCAACGAGGCAAAGAACAGCGGTTGTATACACAGGTGGAGGGCCCAAGGCCCCTACACATCCATATACTCTCCCATGTCTCTCCTAAAGTGATGCCAGAGGGGAAAAGAACTATAGAAAGACTCTCACTATGTCTTGTCAGTGCCTTTTGAATATGCCTCATTTCAGGTTATTCAGCCAGACAGCAGCTGGACTCTTCAGAATGTGTGTAATTGACCAGGACCTGTTACAGAATGTCTCCATAAACTAAATCAGTGAGCAGTACACTTCATAATACATCATTAAGCCTTTTCAGAAGCAGGTTCCCCAACCTTTTCCATGTGAGGATTGCCCCTTGTTATATAACTATTTTTGTTTTTGTTCAGTTGTTCAGTCATGTATGATTCTTTGTGACCCCATGGACCATACTGTCTATGAGGTTTTCGTGGCAAAGATACTGTCCTACTTAAGTACCCCCTATGTTATAGCTCATCCAGTGGGGTAAATGCATGAATGACCATCTACGTTGATGATTTTCAAATCTGCCTCTCTTGGCCTAATCTTTCTGCTGAATTCTAATCTCATATCTCCAACTGCCTTTTTCAGACATCTAGAATGGGATGTCTAGTAGTTATCTTAAAACTCTGAAACTGTACTCATTATCTTTCTCCCTAAACCTTCTTCCCTTCCCAACTTCCCAAAGTGGTAACTTAATGGTTGCTGGATCAAATCAACTTGAGCATGTGGGCTTCTCTCCACAGATAGGAATATTAAGCTAGTTCTAGAACGGACTGGGGATTCAGCCAGACCTAAAAATGACTCAGTTAAATTTTCTATCTATATATCTATATTACATATAAATTATACGTAAACCTATATTCAGTTCATATTTATATATATATAGATATAGATATCAAAATGAAAAGTTTAACTAATATGATATGTATGTCATATATTGTGTATGTTATATGTATGATATGTATGTTATATGTGTGATATGTATGTTATATATTATGTATATACGTGCACATATCCATATACATGCATGCGTGTGTGTGTGTATGTGTATATTCTCTAGCACTTAAGTTGATTCTTATTGTCACTTACACTCTCAGTAGAATATAATCTCCTTCAGGGCAGATGCTATTTCATTTTTGTGTTTGTTACCCTAGCACCTAGCCAGCACCAGGCCACACTAAAGGTCTGGTTGATTAATGAACTGATTTTATCTTTTCTACTTTTTTGCTGTTTGTCTTAATCTTAATTTCTTAGTAAAAGTTCGTTTTGTACCTTCAAACAATTACAATAGCTAGCATTTATGTAATGCTTTAAGGTTTATATGACAATTTGCAAATATTATTTCATTTGATCCTCACAACAACCCTGGGAAGTATTATTATCCCCATTTTACAAACAAGGAAACTGAGGCAGGGAGAGATTTGAGTGACTTGCCCAGAATTACACAAAGCTTTGAAGTGTCTGAGGCTGGATTGCAATTCAGGTCTTCCTGACTCCAGGTCCAGTGCTTCATCTGCTGTACTACCTGGCTGCCTTCAAACTGCTAACGTACTTCTTACAAAGGATGGTTTTTTCATGGGCTGGTTAAAACAGAGGCTGTTGGCTTGTACCCATAGTGACTAGCTGTGCTGGAGGCAGCAGAAGAAGCTACAAAGAGGATTCAAGGATAGCAGAGGAAAGAGAATGAACTGCTAGGGAATGAAGGTGTATGAGACTGATTTCATATGTTATGATCCAACTCACTCTGTCTTAGTAATTCCGTCAAAAAGTCCTTCCATAGTCTAGCCCCATTTTACCTCAAGGTAGAAGTATCTCCATTGCTTCCCAGAGGCACTGCAGATAGGCTGGTCTCACTGTAGTCCTCTGATGCTTGCTCGTATTCATATGCCTTTTATAACAACCTCTAACAAGATATTGTCCGGCCATAAATCCCTAGAATTTGTAATTCTTCCCATTTTGGAAAGAGAGGAAAATAACATGAGATCAGGCTTCAGGTGGTAGGGTGGAGGTTTATCAAGTAGAGGGGTAGATACAGCAGGAGTTTGGGGGACTCTTGGTGAGAACAAGGGCAGGATGAAGGAGAGGAGGCAGTCATTGCCTAGAAGTATTGAGATTGTGGTAGCTGCTCTCTGCCACATGGTCACTTCTCTTCTTCAAGAGCATGAGAGAAAGTTGCTAAATGGACAAGGGGAGATATGTGTGACTACGCTCTTTATGGTACCTGCTCCAGTAGCTGGAGTGCTGAAAGAAACAAAGCCACCATCCCTACATCCCAACCCTGCCTGATTTCCACTTAGCTGCTTTTAAAATATTATTCTGTTAAAGGATACATTTTCCAGATTTAATATTACTTCTCATAAGCTTCCTGTGGTTGACCTGACCTTATATCGCCAGTTGTCCCATTGTTTGCAGAAGTGACACTGGAGAGAGGAAACTTTCTATTTCAAGGCTAGGAACTCAACTCCCAACCCATTGTTAGAGTTTTGCTCTCTAACTGGGAGTATCAACTCAGTAGCACAGTGGATGGAGCATTGAGCCTGGAGTCAGAAAGACCAGAGTTCAAATGCAGCCTGAGACATTTACTAGCTGTGTGACCCTGGGCAAGTTAATTAACCCTCTATTTGCCTCAGTTTCCTCATCTGTAAAATGAGGGTGATAATAATAGCACCTACCTCCCAGGGTTATTGTGAAGATCAACTAAGATAATTGTAAAGCACTTAGCACAGTGCCTGGCATGTAGTAAATGCCATATAAACGTTACCTACTGTTATAAGCAGTAGTCATTTTGCAACTATGCTTCTAAGTGCAGAATTTCTATGGAGGGCGATATTTTATAAATTTGCTCCATAGACATGAGCCTAAGAGTAACTGGATCTTACATTTTTGCTTGTGCTTTCCCTCCTCCTCTGTGTTTACCCATCCTTCCCATACTTAAAACCCAGGCCACATCTCACCTCCATCCAGGAGCCTTCCCAGTCCCTCTGAACTGACACTAATCCAATTCTTCTCTGTACTCTGTGCTATTCTTAAACAGCATTGCACACCTTAGCATTTACTTGTTCTAGAATTATTGGGCAAACATGAACTTTGTCTCTCCAACTAAATTTTAAGTTCATTGAGGACAGGAAGAATGTTCTGTATTTCCATAATTGCTGCTATGCCCAGGACAACAGTCTCATTCTGAAACCTGAGCAAAAGCTCCCTGGTTTACAGTGGTGATGTGTGGGAGCAGAGTCTAGAGTTTAAAGTATGCTCATTAACCTGCCAATCACATATTGTTCTCTTTTAAAAGGTAGAAAGTATTTAGTCATTTAAGAGTTCTTGTTGAATAGTGTACACGGTGTACAGAGCAGTGCAACAGGCACTTAGGTAGTAGCAGTAGTGAATGTAGAAAGATGAGCTGTCCTCCCTCAACGACTGGGATGGAAGAAAGAGACCTTGACACAGGCACATCTATAACAATGCGGAACTATTTTTTAGAAGGTTTGTTCTCCTCAAAGCACAGTAACATAAACAAGATTCATTTTAAAAAATTTAAGGCTCTATTCATTTAGAAACAAAATTCTCCATGGTGCATAAAATAATTCAGTCTAACCCAATAAACATTTCTTAAGCATCCACCCCTGCCAGGTACTGGGCTAAGTTATGGGGATACTGAATTATGTAAATAACTCTCCAAACTGAGTTAACATCGAGCAATATTGGAGAGAAGAGAGCACAATGTGTACTTGAAATGTACTTTTGAATACATAGAATTTGAAAAGAGAGACTTTGTGCATTTCTTGTATCCTTACAG